CCTTCTTCATTTCAGCCTGAGTAGTCTTCAATATTTCTAGCTCTTTTCTGAATTCATCCAGACTTTATCCCTATCTTCCTTCAAGTCTTTGATTTCTTTGTGTTGTTTAAATTCACTGAATTCTTTTATCATGTTTATAATTGTTCTTTTGAATTCCATGTCCTGCATTATCTCTAGAGGCTTCTCATTGTACTCCTCTAGAGTACTATTGGCGTTTGGTGGGGATATGTTATTTTGGTTTTTCATGTTATTATTTTTTCTCTGTGATTTTGACATGTGAATTTCCTTTGTAGTTTCTGACTCTTGTGTGAGACTCAAGCCTTCATGTTTAGGTCTGTTTCTTTTTGTGAACCTTATGTGTCTTTGTGGTTTCCCTTTTGGGCATGAAAAGCTTGTCCTCTAAGCTTCTGGTTCTCTCTTTTGATTTTATGTTGGAGTGGCCAGATTGCTTTTGTCTTCAGGAGTTCCCACAGAGGCCCAAGTCAGATGAGGATCAGATACTCTCAGTCTTTCTCCTGAGGTCTGGATCCCTCCAGGAAAGATTGTGGCTTCAGGAATTTGGAGGTTGGACTGGCCTGGGAGCTGGGCCCAGGAAAGATGCTGGTCTGGGGCAGGTGGTGGCCATGCCACCAAGAGATGCAAAGGGAGATGGGGGCAGGAAGCGGCCCCAAGGGTTCCTGGCAACTGCCCCCTGAGGAAGTGGGTTGGTCTGGATGCAAAGGATCAGGAAGCGGAAAGGTCAGTCCCAGCATCCAGGAAAGAGGCTGATGGGTTGTGCAGCCCAGAGAAGCAGAGGGAGGTGAGGGTGGTGCCAGATAAGGATTGGGACATGACCCAGGCTAGGAGGAGATAGGAACAGGGGAAATGGGAGGTTTAGAATGCTTGCTGCACTTCCACAGGACCTGAGTTCGGGTTCCAGCACTCACATTAGGCAGCTCACTGCTGCCTATAATTCCATTGCTTGGGAATTTAAAGCCCTTTTCTGACCTTCAAGGGCACTGGTATATACACATGACATACACACACACACAGAGAGAGAGAGAGAGAGAGAGAGAGAGAGAGAGAGAGAGAGAGAGAGATACAGAGATACAGAGATATAAAAATAAATCTGTAAAAAAAATCTTTTTAAAGAACTATGTGGGGCTGAAGAGATGGCTCCATGGTTACGAACACTGGCTGCTCTTGAAGATGATCCAGGTTCAATTCCCAGCACCCACATGGCAGCTAACAGCCCCTGTAACTCCAGTTCCAGGGGAATCTGACACCTTCTTCTGACTTCCGTGAGCATTGCATGACACAGGTGCACTTACATAAATGCAGGCAGTACACTCATACACATAAAATGAAAATAAATCAAAATTTAAAACTTAAAAAATAAAATATTTTAAAAAGAACTATGCCAATCAGTTACAAAAACCAAAACAAAAAAATACACCCAAAAATCCTTATAATGTTTTAAAATAAGTTTAAGATTTTGTGTTAGGCCACATTCATAGCTATCCTCAGCTGAATGGGGGCTAGATTGCAGGTTGGACACTATTGGCTCCTACACTCAAAAGATGAAAAAAAATGAGAAAGAATGGATATATAAAGAATTAGAGAACAAGACTAGAAGCCACCAGGGGACAGTAATTCAGAATATCTAATATTATGCATTCAGCCCTTAGTATTTCTGTAAGAAGCGATTAGGATTATTTAAATACTATTAGCATAGACATGGAAATAAAAAGCAAACAACCATCTTAAATTACCAAATAGTTTTTTAAAGATAAAGACTGCCCAGGACATTGTCTTAGCTATTTCAATGAAGCTTTGCTTACTAAGAATGGAATAAGTTGGTTTCATTAGCTTCCTTTTAAGAGCAGCATCTATTTTCTTGGTAAAAGGACAAATTATGACTCTGAATCAGTTAGATTTCTTTAATTGCAGAGGTAAACTGTAGCTTCCCTGAGGATACAAGTGGAATCCAGAAGGGGCTGGAGCCTGGAAAGATGTATCGGTATGGAACTACTGTGACTCTGGAATGTGAAGATGGGTATACCTTGGAGGGTAGCCCACAGAGCCAGTGCCAGGGTGACCACCAGTGGAGCCCTCCCCTGGCTGTCTGCAAATACCGTAAGTGCAAGCACGTCACCATTATTTTTATCTGGGCCATGAGTGAAGAGAATGTAGGAGATTCCTAGGGCTTTGACATCATAAGCAGTGCTATAACCAGTGCTATAACAGATCAATTTAAAGGTAGCAGTCAAAAAAGCACAGCTGAGGATGGAGGACATAAAAACAATAGAGGGGAACAATAAAAGGAACAAAAATAAGGGGTTGGAGAGATGGCTCAGTGGTTAAGAGCACTGGGTATTCTTGCAGAGGACCTGGGATTGATTCCCAGCACCTACATGGGGACTAACAACCATCTGTAACTCCAGTTCCAGGGGATCTGATGACCTCTTCTGACCTCCACAGACACTGCATGACATGGGTGCACTTAAACTCATGCAGGCAATCCACTCATACACACACAATTTTTTAAATTTTAAAAAAGGAACAAAAATATAGAACAGCCTTCCATTTTGAAAGGAGCTTCTGTGAGACTTCCCTCCTCGCTGATTTTTAAGTGCTTAGCACCCTGACAGGTGTTCCAAAAACATGCTAACTAACCCCATTTTAACAGTTAATATTTGCATCTGATCCTGAAAAAAAATCAATGAAAAAACTAGTTCCCACCCTAACTAGTTAGAGTAGAAATCAATGAGTTATGACATAAAGTGGGAACTAGCCAGTTATGACATAATAAAAGAGTGAGCATGAGTTGGGAACCAATATATCATAAGTAGACTTAGAGGGAGCTGAGTATTGACTTCCAAGACATTGTCAGAAGTAATGGACTACATTGATTTGTATTGCTGTACTGATATTTCATTTTGTTGTCCTTAGGCTCATCTATTCCTATTGTTGGTGGTAAGTTGATATTAAAACATAGAGAAAGGTAGGTTAAAATGCATGCTTGACCAACATGCACAACAGCTTTTAGCTTCCTGCCTCCAACTAAACAAAGAAGTACAACTCATATAAACCACACACTGTAATGTGATCGCTAAAGTACCTTGTTTTCCTAAATACATAAAGAAAAGTTCTTAGAGTATTTTATAAATATGTATAATTAAATGTCCTAAATTTTGCATATTAATATTTTTCTTTTTAATTCTTTGGATCTCATCTTTGATGTTTTAAGGATATTTTGATGTTCATGTCACATTATAAAATGTCCCTTTGAGTTGGAAATTTATTCCTGGTTTTTAAATTGGAAGTCTCATTTCATTTGTTCTTTGTATTAAGTACTGTCGAAATAAGTAATGTTATTCTGCTGTAGCAAAGTGTACTTTACAACTAAGAGTCAAATGTTGTTTTGCAAATTCATGAGATTCTGGTGTCCTACATTCCTAATTTCACCCCAGGGACAAGATTGTTACCAATAAAACTGAAAAGAACAGAAAAGACTTGATGCAAAATTGACTGGAACCCTGTGGTCATGTGCTTGATGCTGTAGATGAAAGATGGACTGGATCTAATCAGAAAAACCTTAAGCCCAATTATGATTATTCAGGAATTCTGTGTTTATGGTTAAGGAAAGTTTATTATAAAAATCACATTAACAATTTCTGCACTAGAAGGAGCAGGTCCCAGAATCAGTTCATACTAATACAGGTCACATTGTTTTTCTGGCACTTAATACTCAGTTTTTTCTCTTCCAGGTATTTCTGGAGCCTCGGTAATTCTTATGCTCTTGGTTAGTGCCAGCTTGTGTATGATATTAAAACAAAGAGAACGGTAAGTTAAAATGCATGACCAATGTGCACAAGAGCTTTTGGTTTCTTGCCCCCAGCTAAACAAAGAAGCACAACTAACATGAACCACATACTGCAATGTGATCACTAAAGTACCTTGTGATTTAGGGGAAAGTACTCTCTGTATGAACTTCATAGATACCCAAGAAATCCCACATTTTGTAAAATGATGTTTTCTTGCCTGGTACATAGTAAAAACAATCTAGGGAGTATTGAGAAAACAAAAATTGCACTGGTAACCACTGCAGATATTTAATATGTTCTATCTAACAATTCTCTTGAATTCTTTCTCTCTCTTGCTTTGTAATGTTGTATATAACCTCTTGTCTAACTTGCTTTTCATTTATAAAACTTCTCATAATTATTGGTTATAAGAATGAATTTATATAGAAACTGAAAAACTGATTCTTCTGCACTAGTACTGGTGCCTTCAAAACCCGATGTTAAAAATTGTCAGAAATTTGCTGAGAATGCATCATGTGTTGCTCTGTCTGACATACATACACATAGCTTTATAATTTTGTTCCGGTTTTTTTTGAGGGGGGGACTGGGTCTCCAAGTATCCCTGGTTGATCTGGAATTTGCTATGTAGATAAGGCTGGTCTCACTCTCACAGAGAGCTACCTGCCTCTGCCTCCACAATGCTAGGATTAAAGGCATGCACCATCACGCCCAGCTGCTTTATAAAAATTTTGACCAGTGATGCTAGAGAAATAGAAGGGACATGAGAAGGTAGTCCATGTCTGTTCATTGTTTTGTGGTCCAGTAATTATTGATTTATCTTAGCACCACACTAGACTAGCAACACATGGGCTTTGACAATAAGGAGATCGGTCTGGTAAAAGAGGACAAGCTTGCAATTCAACAAGTACCATAATGTTGCCATAGTGAAGTATATGCTATTTTGTGGGGACACAAAGCAAATTTTTAAAAAACATTTTATTCATTATTTTTATTTTATGTGTATGCGTGTATTGCCTGCATATAGGTAATACGTGTCATGCAATGCCCATGGAGGACAGAAGAGGCTGTCGGATCCCCTGGAACTGGAGTTACAGACAGTTGTTAGCTGCCATGTGAGTGCTGGGATTCGAACTCAAGTCTTCTGTAAGAATAACCAGTGTTCTTAACTGCTGAGCCATCTCTCCAGCCCACAAAGCAAATTTTTGAGTTTTAATCAGAAAAAAATCAATCATGGAAGAACTATTTAAGGCAAACCTAAATAGAGTACAGACAAGTATAGCAATGTATTGTATGCAGAAGGAGCAATTTGAGTAACAGCCCAAAGGTTTGGTTTCCCATCATGTACTGTGAGAGCCACACAACTCATTGGCCATGAATGAGCAATAGTGTATGTGAAAATGACTGAATGTGAAGTTGGCATAGGTTTAGGCACAAATGTGGCATAAAGAGCTCCCTCAAATTTGAATCTTGTGGAAACTACAGAAAATCAATATTTACAAAGGATACCCTTTTAAAAGCATATCACATAGGATTTCAGTCTGATAATGTTCAAATAAGTTCTTGGATCTCTATATATGCTAATGCCAGAGAAGATAATCAGATGAAGATTTGTCAAGCATCAGTTAATTCTGAGCTATCTCAAACATCACACACACACACACACACACACCAGAAAAAAATACTTTAGCATGCCAAGCCATGTGGATCTGTCATTTCCTATGCCACCAGTGTCATCTGACACCATTGTTCATGGCTGCATGTCTAGTCCAGGCATAAGACACGAAGGGGTTGTACTGCTGTCACATAAAGATGGTGTCATTGAACCTAACTGTTGCAGGTTTGTTCATGTTCTTTAACTGGCATGCACTAGTACTTAGCAGAGTGGGCACCATACAACATCAGATTTGTAAATGACTTCAGAGTTCTACAGAAAATAGAATTGGAAAATACTACAAACTTTATTTTTTCTTGCACAGATTTATAATGACCCCAAGGCCACAAAGAAGCGTGCTTTGAGTTTCTAAATTTTTAAAATTTATTTTTATTTTATGTGTATTAGTGTTTTGCCTGTTTGTATGTAAGTGTAATGTCTGCAGAGGCCAGAAAAGGGCATCAGATCCCCTGGAACTGGAGTTATGGATGGTTGTTAGCCACCATGTGTGTGCTGGGAAAGAACCTGGGTCCTCTGATAGAGCAGCCAGTGCTCTTAACCACTGAGCCATTGCTCATCCATTTTGATTTTGTTAACTTGAGTTTTTCAAATTTTTTGGACTACGGAGTTCTTTTTTTCCACAAGTTTGTTTTGTTGTTGTTGTTTTATTTAACATCCATGGAACTAACAATGTTTCACTTAGCAGACTTTGGGAGAATCTAGAAAGGTCATAAGGAGCTAGACCATGAAGAAAGTTTGTATGCCATGACAAGGAGCTATGTGTCCTGTAGGATCATGGCGAGGAAATGAGGTCTTCAGATTTCCGTTTCCAGAAACAAGGACAGGGATCAAGAGGCTGGTAAAGGACACCTTTGCTATGAAGAAGATAGAATTTCCTAGACTTAGTTGTTCACTGAATGTAGGAAGAAAGGGAACATAGAATGACTCCTGAAAATGTTACCCAGGGACTCATTGAAAAGAGTGAAGCTGTGGAGACAAACAGTAAGCTGCATTCTGACCTGTATTCTGAGGCACCTGTGATGCAGAGCTTGAGAGAAGGGCCTGAACTCAGATAGCTGATACTTAGTGGAGTCCTTGAGGCCACAGAGAACAGAAAAAGTGAAAGTAACAATGAACAGACTTTCAAAGGATGGAATATTTAAAGGCAGGAGGAGAAGACACAGTCAGAGGTAGGAAGCAAACTAGAGAACTGTAATTTAAGGAATCCAAGAGAGATAAAAGTGCCTCAGAGACAAAAAATGTGTTGTCATTTTCATGGCTTTCCTCACAGGAAGTTAGGAGATAATTTTAGTCTAGAGTAATTAAAATTTTAAATAAATAGAAAATGTGGTTTCGAAGTTTAGTATCAGAACACTACATGTATAAGAAAATTTTCAAAATTTGGAATGTCTAAAAATAATTCATAATGTTGTCTGCTTCTTACCATTTAGTAGCATGTTATATCATGGGGCTCTATATTCAAGTGTTCAATTGACATGAACCAAACAAATATGGAAAGTAAGTTCCTAAGCAACACTCGTGGTTTTCATTTTCTAATCTCCTTAAATTTATTTTCTAATAATTGAAAGACATTTAAGCTACATTCAATATTTTAATAAATTGGAATAACAAGTCATTTAGTATCAGTTTCTGACTTGGAACACTGCCAAGCTAGTAAGTTATTTGTTTTTAGGGGCTGGAGAGATGGCTCAGCAGTTAAGAACACTGACTGTTCTTGCAGAAGACCCAGGTTTAAATCCCAGCACCCACATGGCAGCTAACAACTGTCTGTAACTCCAGTTCCAGGGGATCTGACAGTCTCTTCTGTCTTCTGCAGGCAGTGCACTACATGGATGCACTTACATGCAGGCACACACATACACATAAAATATAAATAAAATATTTTTTTAATTATCTGTTTTTAGGTGCTCTACTAAAAATGGTGATTTAGTGTTTAATATTTAAGGAAATAAGATTAAATCACCTGTGAAAAGTACTTACCATGTGCTAGAAGTGATAAAAAGCAGACAGCAGATGCATCCTCACAGTAATCAGAGTCAATGAGTAAAGGTTTGACTTTTTTCTTATTTCTTCCATTTAGCAATTATTATACAAACACAAAGCCTAAAGAAGCTCTTCATTTAGAAGCACAAGAAGTATATTCTGTTGATCCATACAGCCTAGCAAGCTGATCAGAAGACAAATAGGTATAGAATGAAACTGAAATGTGTTTATTAATATATAGGTCAACATTTGGTTTAATATTTTTCTCAACAAGCATAGTCTTAAGAAAATATTATTGTATCTCAGTCTTTAATAACCATGCACAGCATTATTAACTTACCTTCTTAGTATTGCCAATAATGGTCTTAGAAAAAAATCTATTTGTCAATTCAAAAAGTATTTAACAAATATGATTAAGAATGAATCAGAATGATTAAGAATGAAGTAAAGATAGGCATAGTGGTGTATGCCTGTAACTCTAGCATTTGAGAAGTGGAGACAAGAGGATCATGTGTTCAAGGCTGGCTTCAGTTACATAGTAGGTTCAAGACCAGGATGGCTACAAGAAACTCTCAAACAGAGACATAAGTGGAAAGAAATAAGAAGAAAATAAGTATTATCGAAGAGAAATAACTAGGCAAAGAGGATAGAAAGACCAGGGTGGTTGCACAAGAAGTTCTCATGATGAAAATGGTATTTTGTGCAAAGACTGAAAGAAGTAGGGAGTTAGCCATGTAGCTATATGGAAGAAGAGCGTTCTAGGAATGAACAATAGTAAGTTCAAAGATCAAAGGGGTCTGCGGTATAGATACAGAAGGTGACTTATGTGGCCTAGACAGGATTGACCAAAGAATGGGGGAAATGGGATCAGAGAGACAAGTAGGAAGGGGCAGGATAATTAGATAGAGTAAGCTAGGTCACTGTAATGAGTATTTATTCTGAGACAGATGCACCATCAGTTTTAAGCAGAGGAACTACAGTCACCTAAACCACTATGTGAAGAGGCTATAGGAAGTCAAGAGTACAAGGGAATCAGCAAGGAGACTACTATAGTAATCCTTGCAAGAAATTTCAAGTTGCTAACAACAGGCTGGCAAGAAGAGACCACATTCTATATGCATTTTTAAGATAGTAACAAGGGAACTGGATGACAGTTTGTATCAGAATTTAAGGGAGAAAAAAATCAGTAATGATCCCAGGGATTTGGAATTGAAGCTACTGGAAAGACAGAGTTGTCCTCAAAATAACAGAGAATGTTAAAAAGAAATCTGAAGAGAAATCAATTCTGCTTTGGAAATGTTAAATGTGAGATATTTAATGACAGCCAAGTAGAAGTGTCAAGGCAGCTGCCATCTAAACATAAATGATCAGACTCCCACTAAACGTTGATTAGAAAGAAATCACTTGAGTATCAACAAGTCTCTTTGTGTAGTTGCAGCATCAATGAAATTATTTCATAAGCTGTAATTTCCTGTATGTGCTTATTCTCAAGTATATCAGAAAAAGTTTGTTTGGTGGTAAAGATGGCAGCCCAGGTTCAGAGCCACCATGGAACAAGGCCTTTCTGAAGTCTTACTTGTGATCTGAGACTAGGCTGTGGCTATAAAAAAATAAATAAATGATTCTGAAAGCACCAACTTCTTAAGAAAGACTCTAGAAAAGGCCATTTTGTGTGTAGTCCCATCTTCTTTTTGTAAACAGGCTATTTATTGTTAACATATGCTTCAGGTTACAATGGTACTTCCATCATCTACCAGAAGTGTTCAACCTGTGGCCAGTAGGCCAGAGGAAGTATAGTATAGCTATGTATGTAGCCCAACACAAAATTGTGTGTTTAGAACATGAGATTTCTTTTTCTGACTTTTATTCTATAATTTGCTTGTACAGTTTTCTAGCATGAACTTTGTAGATAACCAAGCATCCAAGAGAAGCCAAAAGGTTGGACACCTCTGAATCTGAAGCTTTTCCTGTGGTTGTAATGAACACACCTAACTAGGGACACTGACTTTATTTTACTGATAGCTTACTTTTCTGATTTGGTTAAGCATACCCATTTATGATGAGGTTTTGTTCATAATACTGTGTATTCTTTGCCTTTCCACAATCATTCCATAATTGCAGTTTTCCCGAGATTTTGGAACTATCAGAGTTGAGTTTTAATCTAAAAATTTGATGTACATTTCAAGATTTGGTTATTTCTGAAACAGTTTTCTCACAAGCTTCAGGGGCTTGTAAAATGTTATTTAGTAATATGTACATTCACCATTTAAATAAACTGTATTTTAAAAAAACTTAGGTCATTTTGTCTTTCTGGTATCAGTGAACTCCTAAATAACAGATATAATTCTAAGGTCTTTAGAGTTGACAGTTTTTCTGTTTTGAGACAGGGTTTCACTATGTATCCATGGCTGGCCTGGAACTCACTATATAGATGAGACTGGCCTCAAACTTGTAATAGTCCACCTGCCTCTACCTCTTCAGTACTGGTATTAAAGGCATGTACCTGGCTACAGTTAATAATTTTAAATTATATAATCTGGATCCTACCACTTGATCATTTTTTAGCTAATCTTTCAATCCAGAAAATCAGTTCTCTAACCCTCCCCACAGGTCTTTCATATCATTCAGCCAATACCTTTCCCCAGCCCACTCATCCTCTTATACTACATCTTAAACTTGGCATTAAAATATTGAGGAAAACAAACAAACAAATCTTTGCACTGGTACCCAGTTTCCTGTCTCATCTTCTCAGAGAAGTGTACTATTAAGCATCTTTGGGGTGGGGGTGTTGTTTTTACAATTGTGGCTTCAAAAAACACATAGAATTTGCCATCTTAACCATTTTTAAGTGTACAGTTCAGTGAGATTATATATTGTCACATTGTGCAACTGATCTCAAGGACCTTTTTATCTTGTAAAACAGAAACTTTATATCCATTAAACAACAAATCTTCATTCCCTCCTTTTCCAGGCCCTGGTAGCAACCATTCTAGTTTTTATGAATCTGACTCCTTTAGTTTCCTCATATAACTGGGATCCTATGACATTTATCTTTTTGTGATGGTTTATTTCACTTAATATGATATCCTCAAGGATCATTCACATTGTTGCATGTGACAGGATTCCCTTCCTTTCTGAGGCCAATATCCCATTGCATATTATGTTAGTCTACTTTTTGTCACCTGTGATAAAATGTTGAAGATAAACAACTAAGATGGAAGAGTTTATTTTAACTCATGGTTTCAGAGGTTTCTGCTCATAGTCACTTGGCCCCATTGTGTTGGGCCTGCAGCAGTACAGTACATCATGCCAGCACTGTGTGGTAGAGAAGGCCAGTTCTCTTCATGGTAGCTGGGGGCAGGGTGTCTCAATATTCCTTCAAAAGGCACACCCCCCAGAGATCCAACATTCTCCTGCTTGTACCTCTTCCCAATAGCTCCATAGAATGATGACCAAGCCTTTAGCACATGGCCCTTCAGGGGTCACTTCTAACCATAAGCATACCTACAAATGAAACAGTGAGAACAGGGCAGTAAAATGATCAAGGCTTTCACTGTCTGCCCAGCTTTGGATAAGAATAATCTACCTGAGTGGTTCTCTGATGGGGGTGATTTTACCCCTGTAGAGGACATTTGACAGTGTCTGGAGTCATTGTGCTGATTACAATGGCTCTTGGTATCTAGCAGGTAGAAGCCAAAGCTATAGCTAAATACCCTACAATTCACTCAAAGGACAGCCCCACAACTAAGAATTATATGTTACAAAATATATGCATTATAAGGGTGAAAACCCACACGCTGCATAGAACCAAGAGAAAAGAGTGAGCTTCCTCAGGGAGAAATCTGGAGCAAATTCCAAATGGAGGGACCCATTTAAAGCAACAGATGCTCACTATAACCTCAATTTGAAAATAAGCCCTCCTGAAATTGACCATGTTTCTCTTTAAAATTTTCTCCATTTTCTTTAACACCTAATCTCCTGAAAGATGTAGTTAACCTTAAATATCTCAACCAGTTCAGTAATTTGTTCAATAAATAATTATGGAATTACTTCTGTATAGAAATCACTTAGGTCATGGGATACAGCAGTAGCATCCTGTTCTCATGCACTTTTATTCTAGAGAGAGGCAGACAATATTGCAGGTTGCTAGATGTCAAGGAAGTAGAATAAAAGCACAACTTTAAAATATTATATAGGGTGCTCACCATCTCTGTTCTGTTAGGATCCTTGTGAATCCCCAAATCTGGGAACTACCCCAGACTTGCCTTAATTAATGCATCTCTCAACTCTCAGCAGAGAAGCATTCTTATAGAGCAGATGGTGATTAACACAGAGAACCACAACTGTCCAGTGTGTGGAGAATAAGAGGCTGCAGACTGCTTATCCCTAAATAGGACACCGATACCAAAGTTCTGCCTCCCACGGCTCAGGAATCATTGCAGAAGAGAGGGTGGAAAGACTGTAAGAACAAGAGGAGTGGATGACCACAAAGAAACAGTTTTCCAGACAGCTGGTCAGTTACTCATATGAACTCACAGCAACGGTGATAGCATGCACAAGTCCCACATAAGCTCAAACTAGACAAAATCCCAGCATAGACATAGGGAAGGGGGTAAGAAACCCCAACCCTATTTGAGCAACTACTTGCAACAGATGGCAGCTGGGAAGGGGAGATTTGGTCTTAAGGATGAGACTCTTAGAAGGTTGACCAGGCTCCAATGAATGCATCCACACCAAAGGGCATTTTGGGACTCAAACTTGACTCTATAGACCTTAATACATACATACATACATACATACATACATACATACATACATACATACACACACACTCAAGTATAGGGAATTTAGTGGGGGGCTAGTAAGAGGGGTACAAATACCTGAGGGGATCTAAATACAATCAAAATATATTGTTTGAAATTTGCAAAAAATCTATTTTAAAAAGGAAAAAATTATATAAGAGGAAAGAATCTGCAATTCTAAACAGTGGCTAGGGATAGCTTCTTTGAGAAGGTCACAATTAAAAAGAGTAGGAGGTTAGAGTTCTGGGTGAAAAGCATTCCAAGAAAAGGGCTCATTACATGTAAAAAAAAAAAAAAAAAAAAAAAAAAGCTCAAATGAGATAGACTCAATATATGTGGAGAATTAGAGAATATTTTGTTATTAAGCTGATGGTAGTAGAATCTAGTAGAAAGGTGAAATGAGGACCCCAGGGAGAAAGAGAATTTCCAGAGTGATGTCCCTGAGCAAGGGAGAGCAGGCTATATTTAACAGTGATAGATATGCTAACAGGAGATAAAGAGCTACGCACACCAACCCCTACCTACTAAATACAGATATTTGGGTGGATTGACAATACAAGATTTTGGTAGTCTGACGCAGATGCAAACAAAGTACAATGATGTATACATATGAAACTGTCACAGTAAAACCCATTATAGTATATGCCAACTAAAACAATAAAATATAGAAACAATAATGAAAATATTTGGGGAAGTTTTCTTTGACTCTATTTTCTCAGTGATAAAATAGCACAGCTATAAACAGATTAAGAATGATAGAAGATGTCAGAATTCAATGTCAAAATAAAAATATGAAATTCATTTAGGAGAACAGAAGAGTGAATGGATCAAATGACAGTGGGAAGAGAAGGCAGAATTACAATGACCAGTGTGAAATGAGTTGACTTACTTGACTAAAGTAAGACTAGTCATCATCAGTCCCATGTTCTTTTCCAGCCACATTAAATTTCATGGCCATTGTATCAGTCACTTTTCTATGCTGTGATAAAACCCCATGATAAAAAGTATCTTATAGAAAAAGAGTTCATTTTGGCTTGTGGTCCTAGAGGGAGAGTCCATCATGGTAGGTGAGGCATAGCAGCAGGTAGTCAGAGCAGAAAGCTAAGAGATCATCTGTTCAATGGTAAACCTGAAAGAGAATAAGCAGGAAATGGGGCAAGGCTATAAACCCTCAAAGCCTCCTCCCAGTGACATCCTTATTCCAGCAAGGCTCCACCTTCTAAAGGTTCTATAACCTTCTCAAATAGTGCCACCAACTGGGGAACAAGTGTTCAAATACATGAGCCTATGGGGGACATTTCTCATGTAAACCTCTACAGTCATGAAAGGAAAGAGAGAGAGACAGAGAGAGAGAGACAGAGAGAGACAGAGAGAGAATTGTGTGGCAGTGTCTCTGAGAATGCCTTCTGTTACAAATGGAATGTTACCTAACCTTGTAACCAAAGTTAATCTTATGTTTTGAGGTCATTTAACACTATCTCAACTTGATTATGATGTAAACAAGTTTACTAGGCCTTGGGCTCTTCATGTACCCTAAACACATAGCTTTAATCCTTCATGACCCTTTCTTGTCTCTGACCCAGAATAACATATGTGTGTAGATGTGTGCTATGAAAATATCAAGCTCTGAAAGCAGTGAATATTGTTGAAATAAATGCATCATCCTGTTTTTGTTGCAAAAAGACTGCTGGGGGTTCGAACCAGCGACCCCCGTGCAGTGATGATTGGGGATGAGTAAGTGTGCCGTCCACCAGCCCACGCCGCCCCCAGTACCAGAAACACTCAGGTGCAATGGGGAGCCTAGTCAAGCAGGGACTCATTTATTGCAGGTGTTACAGAACTTATAAAGGCACCTGGAAATCCCCCCTCCCCCCTGAGGGTGTATCTTAAGGATGGTCACGTGCTGATCATGCAACTCCTCAGCACTGCGGAAGTATTCTTCAGACTTTCAAAGCAAGTCAGGCCACGCCCCAGTAACTTCCTCTCAGACTTCTGCAAGGTGGGGCCTTTAGATCCCCACATCTCCCCCTTTTTATTTTAAGGCCGGACTGACTTTATTTCATGGGTTACCCACCTCAAAGATGGCTCCCTGAGGAGAGATGACTATCTCCTTCCTCTAATCTTATGCACTTTTGCCTGTCTTAGGTTGTGTCACCTCTGACCAAGACTTGCCCATCATTGGAACATGCACCTGGCCATGTACATGCCCTGTCTTAGGAGTACTTATCATGGGACATCTTACCCGTCCTTGGCTAAAAATGCATCATGATTAAGGGCAGCCACGTGGGTAATGCCAGCCCGTGACAGCCTTAGTCTCTGCCTAACTCGGTTAGCCAAGCATGAGCAACTGGAGTGGGTATATTCCTGGGGGAGTCCGTGATCA